TCTTATCATAGAAGAAGTCATAGAGTTTGCGTGCAGGTTCGGGACCAGCTGCATCGTGAAAATCGGGTTTGTTGCCTTTCTTCATTTTTCCATAGAGGGTGAATTGGGAGACTAGATCAGAAAACGATTAGTATTGTTTAGCAGTGTTCTAGGTAGATAGTAAGACGAAGAAGCATACCACATAGTACTTCCCCCTCAATATCTTTAACATTCTTTTTCCACTGTGATAATGTCAGTTGCTGGTCTCTCACAAATGATAGCCATATTTGACTTACTTGTTGTCCATTCTCATCGGGCCAGAACTTAGCCTTCAAGACCTTGTTCACGAGGTTCTCAGCATCCTTCTCGGTATCTTCTTTGCCAATGCCAGCAAATACAAGAAGGCCCTTGCCAATAGAGGAAACCAACTCCGAATCGACTGTCACAGATGCCGATTTAACTCTTTGGATAACGACTGAACGATATTAGTTGATTTTGGTATATAACACGGGTTCATAGTTCCTAACGTTTCATTTTGGTGACCTATAGATGTTTGATTCTCGCTTCTCGTCAAAATAAGAAACGGCTGGGTGAAGCTTGGGTACCCGCGATGTAGACAAGATAAGGCCCGTGATAGCGCTGGCACAAAATGTTGCCTGCTGTTGCTCAAATGAGCTCGTTTAACCCGGTTTGTCAGTGCGAGTTTATTCTTCGACGGCAATTGTGTACTTTTGCACTGAGAAATCCAAATGCGACGTGTGACTTGTGTGTGCAAGGCCCACGATCCCCCTCGCGCCGCCCTCACGTTTGCCTCCGCCCGTGACCGCCTACCTATTAGAGCATCCACGAAGCTTTCCACTCAAACGCGGAGAGGCATTCCATAGACTTCCGAGTCTCTATCCCTCTTGCTGGCAAACAAACTCTTTTACCCACAATCCCTCCTTCATAAACTCCGTCGATTGTGTCCTTGTGACCATTTTGGTCGAAAGCGCATCACCTCACCGTTCCGACCGCATTAATCCCCACGCCAGTGGACGGCACAGTCCACCAACGGGTTCACAATGGCAGCCCGAAAAACGCAACAGGAAATTGAGAAAACCTTCAAGAAGGTCTCTGAGGGGATACAGACGTTCGAAGGCATTTACGAGAAGATCCGACAGGCTACAAATCCCACGCAACGGGACAAGCTCGAAGACCACCTTAAGCGCGAGATCAAGAAGCTGCAAAGGTTCCGTGATCAAATCAAATCATGGGCCGCCGGAAATGAAGTCAAGGATAAAGCTCCTCTCATAGAGCAGCGGAAGGCAATTGAAGTGGTGCGTTTGGGTTTCCTAACTTGGTCCCTCCATAGGGTCAATGCTTCCCCCAAGGGCCGGCAAGCTAACACAGTCGGTAGTGTATGGAACAATTCAAAGCTGTCGAAAAAGAAATGAAGACGAAAGCCTATTCGAAGGAAGGTCTATCGGCAGCTTCGCGACTTGACCCAAAGGAAAAGGAGAGAGTGGAGTGTTGCGAGTTTCTCTCTAATATGGTTGACGAGCTTCAGCTGAAGATCGAGGCCCTAGAGGCAGAGGAGGAAACACTTCATGCGCAAATGAAGAAAGGCAAGAAGGACACGAAGAAGGCGGATCGAATGGCCGACATCTCCCACGTTACGGAACGACATAAATGGCATGTGAACAAGTTGGAATTCCTCAATCGTTCATTACAGAACGGCAACTTGGACGTTGGTGCGGTACAAGATCTCAAGGAAAGTATCAAATATTATGTCGAAGAAGGAGGTAGTCTTGATTACTCCGGCGAGGATGAGACCCTCTACGATGATCTAAATATCGGCGAAGAGATCGAGGCACAATTCGGCATGGGCGGCGAAGGTGATCGTGTATCATCACAAGATGCCCAATCAATCCAAGACGAAGAGCCAGAACCGAAACCAAAGGTCAAGCAAGAAGCGCCAGCAGCCCGAAGACCATCAACACAGATGAAATCCCCGCTGCCTGTTCTTGCTACCCTCCACCCATCTGCTTCATCGAATGCCACTCCGGGCATGAAGCCCGCTCCCCTTCCGACCCGCCCTCCTGGTGAAACCCTCAAGTATGCCTCCGCTGCTGCCGCTGCTGCAGCAAGTGACAAAAGTGGTGTTGGCATTCTTCCTCTTCCCCCTCCACCAGGGTTCAGCCCGGCTTTGTCCGTGGCATTGCCTATGTCCAAGTCTTCTACTGCTTCGCCTAGTGTGGCGTCAGCACAGCCTGTTTCCAAGTCAATAATTCCACCTACTGTAGCAGCTGTTACAGAAGAGCTTGCCAGGCCCGTGCGACCGAAGATCCCTACAAATGCAAGTCTCTCATCGCCAGCGCCCGAAAAAGTGGAGACATCAACGAATGGCAAACTCGAGACAGAAGGAACTGAAACTGATGAATCGGTATATCACCTGCCCCCTGGTCTCCAGGACCTTCTCCAATCATTTGAGGTAACCAAGTCGCGTGCGTCGGCCAATCCATCGCCGTCTGTTCAACGCCTTCTCGCTACCTCATTGACGACATGTCCAGAGGCCGGCGATGCTGAAAAGCCACGTCACTACAAGCCGCAGAACCCCTACAGCACTGCTCTCTACTATCCCCAGGAACCTCTCTCAATATTTGATGACCCTCGCTTGTACGATACGGGGAGAATTGACACGGATACTCTCTTCTACCTTTTCTACTACCGTCAAGGGACGTACCAGCAGTACCTCGCTGCCAAGGCGCTCCGAAACCAGAGTTGGCGCTTCCATAAGCAGTATCAAACCTGGTTCCAGCGTCACGAAGAGCCCAAGAACATCACTGAGGAGTTCGAACAAGGCACCTATCGCTTCTTCGACTACGAAAGCACATGGTCAGTTAAAGCTTCCGATTGATTCCGTTCCCGTACCAACTTTACGAGCTCCCCCACTTACGAATGGTATCAACAGGATGAATCGGCGCAAGGCAGATTTCAAGTTTGTGTACAAATACCTCGAGGATGAGTTATGAGGCGCCTTTCTTCTTTTTCTCCCCGTGAGCAACCCACCCGGGTCTCCAAGTGCAGATGATTAAATTTTTCACCCCGGACTTTGTTCACAATGTCTGTGGCTCGACGCTATGATTCGATAGACTGGGTGTTTGAGGCTATGGCGGGAACTTTGATATCTGTGGGGTCACGGTGGGCTGTTTTATCTTCTTTTACTGTTTTCGCAGGACTGGCATCAATGAGTGCAATGAATGGGCCTGGGTGATACGGGAGTTTCGTGTTATTTTCAAGGTTATCAACTGTTCGAACCATACAATGAATCCTGAAGTCAAGCATATTGTTGGCTATATACATAATACGAGGTAGCCAAGTGGCTAAGCAGCCAAGCAGCCCAAGTAAATTTCATTGTATGCTTATGCCCCAGTCCGCCTTGCAGGTACCTGGGCTTGGCCTTGGGATGAAGTACAGCCAGAAGTACCCAATGTAGTACATACTATAGGTACAGACACCAACCCGGGCCCTGGGTCCGGCGTGGTTGGTATTTGCTCGTGTACACGTAGCTCTGCAGGTCTACCCTCGTCTCTATTGGGACAATGCAGGAGAGATGCAAGAAAATACGGGGAAATATGAAAATAATAATAATAAAAAGCAGGAAACCAGGGAAAGGGACACGGGGGCGGCACGGCTGCACTTCACCTCATAACCACCAAGGTTGCCCAGGACCGGAAACGATCCCAAATATCCCCGAATGAATAAATAAAAAGAAGGGAGGAAAAAAGGTAAAAAAAGCACCGGCATATGACGAATCGCTTCACTTCTGTACAACCAACGACGTGCGACGTCAGAGAACGCTAACTCGCCAGCAAGCATTACGGGTTACACCTGCATCCCACTCGCTCTTTCAGCCTCTTGGCAGACGCTAGCACTTTCGAGTGCGGGATTTTTCTTTCTAGAAGCCCGGGGATTAGTGAACGCTAGTCGCTAGTCACTACGTCGTCAGGGGCTGTGCGCGACCGCGACATCATCGGTCGATCTGCGATACGGGATTGGAGGGGTTTGAGAATTGGGGGAATCGGCCTTGGCCAGGTTCTCCATAGAGATGGACATGTTCGGGAGCGCAAGGCTAGATCGTGGATCATTTCTGAGAATATAACCGGCACGATTGTGCCGTGGGATATATTAATATATACGTCAATGGGTGGGTTTTTGGGTGGGAAATTCCCGGAATGATGTGCATCGTGAACTCGGATTCGAACTCGGACTGGAACTCATTCTTGATCTGGACTTTGACCTTGATCTGGACGTCCTTGAACTCGGTCTTATGAAAGCTTCGACCCTGGAGAAATTCCAGACCTTTCAAACGGCAAATATACAAATGTACGAATGTGCAAATGTACACATGTTACCCCTATGACGAACAAAAAGACCCGGGTCATGACCGTCAGACACGAGCTCTTGGCAGGACGCTAGAAAGACACTAGAAGACACACAGAATCGTCAACGTCCAATCATAAGAGGAGCTTCGTGAGGGGAAGTCACTGGGCACCCAAATGTTTGACCGCTGCTTATCAGCAACCTCTTAACTCACCTCGACAACACCTGATCATCCTCCAATCATCAACGTCGAAACTATCCGGGATGTGAAATGAGGACTATGAGAGGGGCACGCTAGAAGGACCGTGGAATATTCGGCGTCAGCAAAGATCATACAAAACAAATTCCCGCATGCGAGGAGGCGGGGAGGCTGAGTGGTGTTGTCCAGTCTGCTTCGAGTAGTTTTCTAGAAAACTGTTTAGTGCCATTTACTGTCCCTTTCACAGCCATTCACAGTTTAGTCCTGTTGTTGCTGTCCCGTGTCGACCAATACCCTACTCGAGCCCCCGGTCATGCTCCATATGATGGAGTTTCACGTTGGGCACATAAAAGGGCTCATGTCTCCTTTGCTTAAGGGAATTATTTTGCACTTGAATCTTAAATACCTGGCCCAAATCAATTTTAAGATTTCCATAATTAGTTAAACCTGCTCTCGCACAATGGTAAGTGACTTTAGCTTGCAATGGGCGCATTCTAGACTAACCCTCTCTCTCTCTATAAGACCGCAATCCCGATTCCCCTACCACACCAACGCTCACTCTCATCCGCCCCAATCGACATGCAGTCCCCATTCAGCTACACAGACTCATACTCTTCCTCCTACTCCTCCTCACCAGGAAGCATGGACTTCTTCTTCTACGGCGGTCAGCCTGTCTACGACACCCTCTGCGACGTCGACGCAACCAGTCCCTTCCCTATGCAAGAGGTCACTCCAGAGCTCTATGGCATAACCAGCTCGCCCTACACCTACCAGAACCCAGTCTTCGACCGACCTTCCATGCCCCAGAGCGCACCCAGCAGCTGTGGCAGCAGCTACAGCGGTAGCTACAGCAGCAGCTTCAACTTCCCCTCCGAAGACATCGCTCTACCAAGCTACCCCATCAGCGAATATGAATCCAGCGCCGATTCGCCAGCGCCGCAAATATCCAAGTAAGCTAGCTAACTCCGCCGTCGTAATTGAATCAACTCACTAATATATCTCCTCAGGCCGGTTAAGCCCTTCGGTTGCGACCATTGCGGAAAGTCCTTCACCCGCTTCGCAGACTTGAAACGTCATCAGTCCAGCGTCCACTACCCCGTCTTCCGCAACTGCCCTGTTGAGCACTGCTCACGAAAGGGTAGCAATGGCTTCCCGCGCCAGGATCACCTCGTCGAGCACCTGCGCTCATACCACCACCTGGACGTGCCCAAACGCGGATCCTGCAAGCGCTCCGCGAAGCAGATGTCATGATTGTAATGATCTTTTTCCGACACTTTTCCGGACATTTTTACGATACTACGACTGTTTTTCTCCTTTTTCTGATGTTCTATTTCTATTTTTACATTTGAATGTTTCATCGATAGATCGCCCGTTATGGGTCGATCCTGTATGTTGTATAGAAGACGCGGATTGGTTCTTCGCATTAGTTTGTTTCAGTTTTCGAGCTCATCGCTCATTACTTCTTATGTGTCCTAGATTCTAGATCGGGCTTAGATGGGTTATTAGTGGAATGTTTCAATGAATTGCAACGATTACGATAATACCATTTTCCTCAATTGGCTTAGACGATTTTTTTTTTTTTCGCTATCTGTGATTTTCCCCTTTCGTGTTCCAATTGAGCTCTGGCCAAGTGAATTCTCTTCTCAAGTACGCGTTCTGCAGTAGTCACACGAACTAACCGGACTGAGTAGGTGTTGCGTCAAATATCACCGTGTTCTGTACTAACTGCAATGTTGAGTACCTGTTCGTTTCCCCCTAAATAATGCCCAAATATGCCTCATAGAATCCAAAGAAACAAGAATATCAAAAACAAAGAAAAACTCTGATGAAAAATCCGACTTTTCAAGCCTTTTCTTTGTCCTTTCTTTGTCCTTTTGTACAACAAATGTCCTAACCCCCCCCCCCCCCCCAAAAGGTTGGCCCTCACTTTGGCCCCCAAAATTTAATGTTTTTCTCCTTTGAACATCCAAGTCCAGTAACAGTCCATGTGCAGGTAATTAATTCCACTCCCAAAAATAATTCCTACATAGTACTCTGTACATGCAGGTACCAAGCGACCAAGGGATCATTAAGTTCATTAATGCACATCCGAAACGGATCTAAATCCCAGCCCCATCCTTCAAAACCACATTATTCCGATTATAATCCCAACAATTCACCTCAAGAGCATTCTCAAACACTCTTCAAGCCCCAACCCCATAAAAATCAATATTAACATTACCCCCTTCCCAAAGGTCTCTCCGTATCCTGCCCCTGTTCAACTGTAACGTAAACCCCTGGTTAAGATGCCACCCAGTACGACAATGCATTAGCCACGCCCCGGGATTATCCGAGCGGGACATTCTGGGAGTGCGCCGGGAGTGAGATCAAGTATTCACTCGGTATCCTGGTCCCGGGATACAGATGTGGACGTAGACGTAGATCTGTTTCAAGATCAGTATCCCTGCGCGAGGACGCGGAAGTCATATCCATGTGGGTGAATCAGGTGTGCTGTATCAATTGTCGTTTCGATGATGACAAGCACCCAGGTATTTTCTTGGGGTTTGTGCGATGGAGTTATCATTGGTTGTGGTTATGCATGCTGTGCTGAAATCGCGGAGCGTGGGCGGCGCCCGTTTTCCTTCCACTGAGATGCCGTCTAGGTACCAGCGGTTGCTGAAAGTGTTATGTTGTAGAAGAAGTATACTATAGTTAGACAGAGCTGAGTTGAGATCATGGGGATTGGGCTAGAAGCTGGCTCGTTTTCGCAGGTGTGTGTTAGCTTGCAGGCTATTGTTTTTGTTGTGAGGGTAGGGGGGGTTAATCAGCCTGGTTTCTCTGTGTGGGTGTGGTAGATTATACCGCGGATGTTATTTGGGTTACTGTTGGATGGCCAGGATAGCTTTAGTGTGGCATGTAGCCAGAAGGATTTCGTTTTGAGGCTTGGTTACTGTGATTATACGTAGGTCAAACCAGCCTGTGCGCTCTATATTGCATATTCGGTTGAGACTTGGAAGCTCCCAAGCCATCGTAACCTGATCCCTCTGGGTGGGGCCCACGGTTGAGAAAGGTAAAGACTCAAAGGAAAGCTGCAGAGATACCAGGCACAACATTCAATATCGAAGCACACTATATAGCCGGGCTACCTAGATAGGAAATCCAGATCGATAACTCCATGAATCAAACTTCCGGATATAAGTACAGGAAGAATCTCAAATATCAAACACAATTTAAGAACACAAACCTCCTTGTTATCCCTAACACGCCCTCTAATCAACAAAAAAGAAACTCACTTAGCCCCCAAATCCACGAACTCCTTGAAACAAACCCCCCTAACTTTCCCGTCCAAAAAAACAACACCCTCCTCCTCAAGCCTCAACCTCTTCTCCTCACAAAACCCACCCCCACCCTTATGCGCATCAACCTTCCACTCCCCCTTATACCCACCCAACGACCCATCTGCGGCAAGTACCCGATGACATGGCACCTCCGGCGCAAATGGATTACTGCGCATCGCATTGCCGACCGCCCGCGCGCTGGAACCTAGGTACGTCGCCATCGCCGAGTACGTAGTCCACCGACCTGGCGGGACGGAAAGGAGCGTGCGGTACACACGCCGGCGGTACGGGGTTAGCGTAGGGTGTAGGGATATGCGGTGGAGATATTTTTTTGTTTGCGCAGTGGGTAGTGCGGGTTGGAGGGTTTTCTGGGGTTTGGGGTCTTGATGGTCTGGGGTTGGTGTTGGGGTCTGCGGAGCTGTGGGTTGGACTGTCGAGAGTGACATGATTTCTAGACCCTCTTACAGGGCTAAGGTTTTTGGGATATCTTTTTATGTGATTTAACCTCTTTGAATATTTGTTTTCGAGGCCCTTTTTGAAAGCTTGGAATTGCCTGGGGCTCGTGGAGAGGTTGATATTCCGAGGCTCACTAATTTGTAATTAGCCGGGAACGATGCAACACGAGACGCGTTTGTCGGTATTGGGGTAATGGAGTACCTACCACGTGAGTATGGAGTAGAAGTTGAAGATTAGAGATGTGATAAACCCTTTGTTTGAATGTGAATATTTGAAGAGAGAAAAATGGCGAAGGAAAAAAAAGCTATGAAGCTCAAACTGCAGGGTTGAGTTGATGGTGGTTGTTCCCAAAGTGGCCAATCAGAGCGGCTTCTGTGAATGGCATTTCATGATCACATTTAGTTCATTTTCTTTCATGACGTTCTGAAGATATATTCTTAATTTGTCAATTGATAAGATACTAAATTTTTCCGACCATGTATCCATTTATTAATTGGGTATTCATCAAAGCGTCATATATCCCAAACATAGCGCATCATCAAGCCCTGCCACCTCAAATCTAAGCGTGATCTACATGCTCCGCTCTTACAGCATTATCACCAGCCTTGGAAGCCGCAACAACTGCAGCAGCAGAAAGAGGCTTGCCAGTCTCCGGGTCCAATACATTGCCCTTGGCACCGAGAGACTGGACCATGCCTGGGTTCTCCGCCTTGAGGCGCGCAAAGGTCTTCTCTGCATCCCAGGTCCAGGGGGTCTTAGCCGCGAATAGGAGATCCATATCCTCTAGGGTGCGCTGATTGCTTTCTGGATATAGAGCCCACACCATGGGGATGGAGATGACATTACTGGCGGCGAAGACGTACAACGTCTTTTCGCCAATGGCGTTGAACATGACGGGGCACAGTAGAGTCTTTCAATGTTCAGTCAGTATATGTTCTTGTATTTATTAAAGGGAGTTCACTCACCAGCCATCCATTGCCAATACTCCATCCGACAACGCCAAAGGCATTTCCACGTGCACGAACGGCCAGGGGGAAGATTTCAGCCGGGTAAACCCTAAGAGATCAGAAGTTAGCATTAAATAAAACGATCGGATGCGAGTTCCGTACCAAGGGACTGTGAGCCACGAAGCTCCGAATGCAGAGGTAAAGATGAAAATCATCGAGGCTGCGGCCGCACCGTACGAAGATGCCTGCCCCATGTCACCGGCTGCCTTGTTGTCGATAGCGAGACGGGAGAATCCACCCGCAAGGAACATAGCAATACCCTGGACAACTGCTCCCCAATACAAAGTCCACCGACGGCCGATGCGGTCGAGAGTGAAGACGCAGACTAGCGTGGCAAACTAAACATACATATTAGCGCAAATTGCTCTCTTCTATAATGCCAAAACATACCATGTAGAAAATGTTGTTCAATCCGCTAATCCACTGGCTCTTCATCGAATCAAACCCAGCAATGCCAAAGATGGTCGGTGCATACACAGTAACTCCTGCGATACCAACCCATTCCTGCATGATCTGTAGCCAAATGACCAACTGTACACGACGGCCGATATGAAGATCACCGGATTTGTAGCCAACTAGCATAGACAGATATGAGTCACCATGATTCACTGTCCGCTCTAGCTCTGCAATACTCAAAATATCCTGAAACTCGGCTTCCGCTCGGAGGAGGCCCTCTCCGCTAGATCCACGTAGACGCTGTAGAATGTAGCGGGCCTCTTCCTCCCGGCCGACCTTGACGAGCCATCGAGGTGACTCTGGGAAAAACCAGACAGCCGCAAAGAGAGCTATGAGGAAGACGATCTGGAATGCAATAGGGAATCTCCAGCGGAAGGCTGACTCCCCGTTGTCGATGAAAGACAAGCCACTGTCGAACGTTAGGAATGATATCGCGGAGATCGCATCGATTTACATACAACTCCAGCCAATAAGCCAACACAACACCAAAAATGTTCAGCGTGAATTCAATAGCAATGAATTGTCCGCGCGAAGTATGTTCAGCTGTCTCGGTAGCCCAGACAGGGACGATAGCGTTCAAAATTCCAGTTCCAATACCATTAACGAAACGGGCTGCAAATGTTAGTCCAAGCCTACATATATTGAGCATATGCCTCCTTACCGCAGATCATCCAATTGTGGTTTTGTGCAGAACATTGCAGAGCGGCGCCTAGAATAGCCCATAGAGCACCCGCTGCAATTGTCTTGATTCTTCCCGTGCGGTCTCCAAGCCAGCCACCAAGCAATGCGCCGAAAAGGGTTCCCAGATAGTAGACCGACACAATCCCACCTTGCAGTAGGGAATTTGTGACCACCGGGGTCACCTCTCCGTCCACCACCTCAGTATAACCGAATCCCATAAGATCAATATAATCCTTTGCGTTGTTTACACCGGCCATCATTCCTTGGTCGTATCCGAAGAACAAAATAGATAATCCAGCAACGCAGTTAATTCCGATGAGAAGCTGTCGCTTCTCCAGCTTGTGGACGACATTCCACGAGGGAATTTTGTCACTCATTCTAAACGCGATTAAGAGGGACGAATCGAGTATTCTTGGAGGCTTGTCGCATTAAAGTTGGTTCTATAGACCAAAAGAGTAAGAAAGGAGTAAGAAAGACAACCAGACCCTAGCCTGCGGGGTAGAATAAACGTACAGCGACAGAAAAATAGAAGATCCAAGATTACTTCTACATCACGGCAACTGAGCTTTTTAAAGCTTCTACATGCAGCGCCCAGACCCTGGTCACACACGGCACAACTCCGAATTACCAATGGGCGATGGATGATGCACAGCAACTTCCCCCCGGAGATCGACCGAAAAGCAGCCATGAACAGCAAGGAGTGACAGTTCGGATTCGGTCATATTCCGGTGGAACATGGGGAACATGAGATAGCAAACCAGTCACCAGCGTCGATACAGCATGCCCTACCCACCAGAATGAGAAAATCCGGGGATCAGGGCTGGAAACCGGGCTCGGCGAGTACCTACCGTGTGTTGTAGGAATGTCATGGCGGGGCGAGATCTGGGGGCTTTTACCCGTTTACTGACCTCGGCAATCCGAAGGAAAGACCTTTTTTGTTCTACACATCCCGGGAGGCTTGCAATATATTCGGGTTGGAATCGGGGCAAAAAGCAAATTGCTGTGCGGAAAGTAACCTGCGACCCGATGGGCGCGACATACTCCGTGGTGAAATTGGTGAATTATCCGGTGGCATGGCTTCCTATGACCTCCGCATTTTCCCTCGAGTGGGTCGAGTGGCCCGGGGGAGATGTTCTTGGCAGGGCGCTTTTCTGCGCTCGGGGTATTTCTCAGTCCGGGTTTGGTCTCGTGACATGCTGCCATGTGATTGGTTGCTACCTCAGAGATGGATCCATCAGCCCCAGGTACGGCCATGACCTCCATTTCTACTGTCAAGACGAGACCTAATGAAGCGGGCATTTTCTGTCGGTGGAGTTGAATTAGTTGACATACATAAAAGCCGAGTTATGCCTCACTTTTCGTTATCCTCTCCATGATCGTGTCGAGTTCCTCTTTTCTGAAAGCCTTCCACAAACCACCTGAGAACGTAGTAAGGTCACATAACCCAACAGCCAAATACACCCGAAATCCCATCAAAGCTGTATCATCTACAACATCAGTCTCATTCTCGCCCGTAGTTTATAGGCTAGCCCTACCGCAGGCTGTATCCATCAGCCTGTTTTAACGGTTCTCAGTAAGAAGCAGGTGATGCACGACTAGGTCTTGTTCCTTGATTCTACGATAACGCTGCCAATTCTCTCAATTTATTTATTCGTCGTTTCTCCAAAGAGGCGCTAATACTATGTTATACATCGTTTATTTCCCTGCTAGACTAAGAGACTTACTTTGTATGGGGCTTCTTGCAGAACGGACATACCCGCCCCCACGCACTCCATGTCGGACGAACGGCATCTGGATGCGGCTTTTATGGAGTACTATAGAGTTAGAGATGCTTCCGATCGGATGTAACGTCATCGTATCCATTATTTCTGCTTCAAAGTGCCGTTATATATAGTACTATCGCAAAGTGGACCCGTATAAGGAATATATATATATATATATAGTTTTTTTTATATGATTAAAAATAGCATGTTGATGGTCATTGTTAAAATAAAATTGCGTACTATCTCAAGACGAAATCAAGAAGTATCTATGTCGTGTGACGTAGATGATAGGTATCGTGGGCTCGGCTAGGGAGAGTCAAACACTGTCCTCGGTTGCATCGTTCATGCATGAACGAGCTTGGCAAATTAATTTAAGTCAGAGTTGTAGCTGTAGCGGGATTATACCCTCTGCAACCTTTCGGCAAAATATACTCCCTTATTGCCACTAAGACCGCTTGAGATGATCACAATGCCATTTACTAAGAAACTGTGTCAGCCTGTGCCAAGCAGTAACAGCCGCCCCGGAAGAGGCTCGATCTGAAGTTCGTAATCAATACAATATATCGCTAGTCATTCATCCATGGTGGATATAGATATCAATGCTTAAATAAAAATCATCTTCTTTGACCAGCTCATTCTGATAGCTGTTATACTCACACGTGTCAGTATGTAAATGAATGAGCGATCGTATAGCATGCTTTCAAGCGAGGGTTCCTTGCGTTTGATCGAATTTTCTTGTAATTTACAGAGAATGTTAGAATGCATACACGACTTTCAATAAGGCAAAGCGATATCACATTTAACTTAGGTTGTGCCGCACCCTTGGCCAATAACACGCCACCATATAGGGAGGGGTAGGTAGGCTGGTATTGTGGGAATGCAGTGCCGGGAAAGCAAAGATTGCATGCCTGGGATGTATTAGTCTAACGTTAGATTATTCTAATGTACTCTGCCATGATCTCGTAAATTATAAAAACAACGGGACGATGGTTCTTAAACCTGTTCCCATGAGACCAAGGGGTCTAAAATATGGAGATATAATTGGTTCAGTAGCTGGGGAGTGGGTCCAACAAATTGAAGAGATATATCCGAATCAGGATTAGCGTGCCTTTGTGCTCAGGGCAGGGTCCACTTGTATAGATTGGTCTACTTAATTACCTTGTACTAGCTGTGTTTACGAAAATTAGCGCGAAAATGCGGGGAAAATGTATCAGAAATTTCCCCATGTAATTAATCTGTCTAAGCACGATATGCTCAGTGTAGGTCCGTAGACCTAGGTATGTACATGCAACTCTCGCTAACGACATGAGAAAGTGTTGCGCGTGCAGCCCATAATTCATATCCACTTCCAGCCTCAGGTTTCAAAGGTTAGTTGTTTCGGGCGTAGATCTTGACTGAGTTTATCAGCCAGTAAGCCTCATTGAAGGCGGCTGGGTTATTTGCGACCTAATCGTTGCAGGTGTCGGCCAGGCTGGCGCAGGTCTTGTCATTTAAAAATTCCCTTGAAGCCCCTGTGAAAGTTAGCGAATGTGTCCTCACTACAGTTTGAATGGTACTTACACCCTCCACAGAAGTTTGTATTGAAGATAGTGTAGTTGATTTTGAATCTTTCGGCAATATTGCAGGAATTGCCCTCAAAGTGAGCCAAGCGTGCGCCGAACTTCGCCACATCCAGGTCCGCAGCGCCGGCATTAACCACCGCATTAGCCGCAGCGGTGCCACGAGGAAAGAACCACACATTGATAGAAAGGCTTGCCCATTCCGTGACATACACACCGCCTCCGTTAGCGTTGAAGGCAGCACCATAGTTGTTGGACGATGTGGTGGCCTGAGAGCAACCCGCGTCGGAGTCTTCACAGTCAGCAGAAGTCTGGTTTGCTGTCGACTCAGACCCGGAGACATCCATGTTGCACCCTTTTGCCGTATGCAGGGTGACAGAGTTGGATTTCTGTCCGTTGACGCCCTCGATGATGTCGATCTCGCCTGAGTTGGGCCAGTCAGGGCCAGAGGTCCAGTACGCAGGCCAGATGCCGCAGGAGCCACCTCTTCCAGTGCCAACAGGCATGTGAGAAATGTCAACAACGAAGAGGCCGGTGGTGAAGACGTCCTTGGACCTGACCCGGGTTGACGGGCGGGCATTGGTAGTCTTATCCACATAGTTGGCACCAAGGTAGACTGCGCCATTGCTAATCTTGGCCATCCCAGAGCTCTGGGCAGTTTCGGCGTCTACATACTTGGCAAAACCTCCAGAGGGATCCGGATCACTGGTGAAATTAAACCCGTCGAAGAAGTTGGTGCTATCGTATACTTTGGTCTGGGAGTATAAGGTAGCACACACTGGAACCGCCGAGATAAGGGCTCCAATGCCGATAGCTGTTGCTGAGAAAATCATATCTGCGGTGATAAGGAAGAATTGCGAAACGATAGGATTGGGTGTTTTCAACTAGTTTGGAAATGCAACAGACTGGAAAATATAAAGCTATGCTTAGGAGGATGATCAACAGACACAAGATACAACGTTACAGCCGATCGGGAGGACTCCAATTGCAACTTCTCATGAATTTGCTTCTAAATGGTGTTTAGCCGACAACGGCTTGCAGGAGTGCCGTACTCGTACGTCCTGCTACGAACTTCGGTGGGGAATAGATTAACAGATGGGTACCTTTTCGGAGACAAGGGTCGGATTGCAACAGCATTGGGTAGGTTGGTATTTGCAGATCAATAATGCCGGAGCTGAAGATGGAAAATAGAAGCTCTATTCCAAACCATCCAACTAGGGGACAGGACTTAGAGCCGAAGCACTAGCGCTGTCATATTCCATGTGCTGACATATTATTGCGGGCAAAAGGTATCTTTCATAGGCTGTGCCTATTTTCGTCACACCATCACCTACGCCCATGTTAGATCCCTGTTAATTGGAACTATGATAATCTAAGTAAACTTCACTAGCGTTTTGTAGTGCAGTTAATTTATATTATCTGCTCCGTAGCGCTACAGAGTATAGCATTTGCTACGAAATTCTACAATTCATTACCAGTGGTTGTAATACCAATCAGTAGAAGAGTGAGTAAGGATGCTCTAGAGCCGTTTCAAGATTGCTACATTGGTATTATAACTGTTATTTCTGGCTGTTATCATCAGTAATCTATTCAATATATTGTATGAAATTGGTAAGATACCGTTTTATTACTAGTGTAGAGATCGGCATAGATCTAAGTTGATCAAACTGGGACCTGGACGACCACATGGCAGCCGTTAGTGGCATGCTTGGTTTTACACGATTAAAAAACGGCAAAGGAATGAGCACCAAAATGGAAAGGAAAACGAGCAGTACTCTACGCTGAGCTGATAGGATAGGGGATATTTGCCTTGATTGGAGGGATTGGCGGCGTAGGAAGAACTGGAAGAAGGGCGCAAAGAGACGTTGTGATGGGGCAACCGTGCAAATTCAAAAAAAAAAAAAAAAAAAAAAGGTTTTTACGTAGGATGCAAAGGGGAGCCACATCTGAAGACTCTGGCCCTGACGAGCATCAAAGAGGACAAAAATATATCCAGCAATTGCGGCTTTTAAGGCCAGACCTTAACGTACTAATTGGGCTCCTAAGACACGCAATAAAATGCTGGATAAGCAGAAATCTCCATACTTCAGCTGTTTATGCATCCGTATGCCCGGTGTGTTTCGATTGCTTCCGATATTCGTCTATCCTTGCACACAAACACATGTCCTTGTGTTGCACACTTCCTTTCTGAGAAACAGAAAGTTCGGGGGGCAAGCCAACTCCGCAGCCCCGGAATCACGTTGTGTCCACCAATCTGGATTTGCCAAGGTGTCAGGTTTCTAAAATCTTGAATATCTTGGTCATGAGTGACGACAATTCAACTTCTAATGCCCGGGGTGAGTCTATTCCAAGTTGATGTCCCGAAAGCGCATGCTGACCTATATATGAAGTGCGCTTGGTCATAGTCACAATAATGGGTGTTACCTTCAAGATAGTATTCCGATTGATGTGCATGTGCTTCGAACACTGGAGTCTCCAGTCTATATCAGAGTACATGTTGTAGTCGACAAAACATGTGTATATAACATTCAAGGCCCAAAAGTGCAGAAAGGAAGACTTGATCACAGGTAAATATTTCCTAGTATCTACGAACAAGAAAAGTGGCAAGAGAAAAGCATATAAGGCTGAGTTCAATAAGTTCCCTGAGTTCAGGTCGATGCCGGTCCCGGGATTGTCAACCAACTCTAATTGGTTAACTTCCCTGAACCGGGTAAGTAACAAAACCATCGGGGATATTTCATAAAACGCATCTTCCACGATTTTACCACATGGTCAGTTAAATCCCCGACTTCGAGGATCCAATGGAAAAAGGTAACATGGCGCAAGAGCGTGGCAACGAGGTTGATACCAAAGCACCCGAAGACCCGCCAACCCGGCATGGAGATACGCGCATGGAAGGCTATTCCCAGTTCACAGTAGGCCAGAAGCGGGCTATTGTTGCAATGGGATCCTTGGCTAGTTTCTTCTCACCCTTGTCTTCGAGCATCTATCTGCCCGCTCTGACCACCATCGCGAGTTCCCTGCATATCTCCGTCTCCCAGGTGAACTTGACGGTCACTACCTACCTGGTAAGTGAACTAAAACAACAATCTTATCAAATAAATGTGCGACTGACAAAGCCTCTTATTTCTAGATTATGCAGGGAGTGGCACCGATGCTGATCGCAGGCTTCTCGGACACCGCAGGCCGCCGTCCCGCTTACCTCATTTGCTTCACAATTTACCTTGCAGCCAATCTCGGACTAGGTCTCCAAAACAGTTATGCTGCCCTCCTGGCTCTCAGGTGTCTTCAGAGTGCAGGTAGCAGTGGAACTGTGGCACTGGCAAACGGGTTGGTCGGAGACATGATCACGTCCGCGGAACGAGGCTCATACATCGCCTTCGCTTCAGTCGGGAGCATGTTAGGTCCCTCCTTGTCACCAATCATCGGCGGACTGTTCAGTCAGTACACCAATTGGCACTGGATCTTTTGGTTTCTACTCATCTTCGGTGGCGTGTTCTTCCTCATCCTCGGTCTATTCCTACCGGAGACCTGTCGCAAAGTCGTCGGGGACGGGTCCATCCCACCACCTCCTCTGAGTAACTCTGTGGCAGATATTATTCGACATCGCACGCGCAAACAGAAAGGTCTCGTGCCCGACCCGGACAAGGAAGCTGAGGTACGAAAGAACTACTCTTTCGGGTTCCCATCACCGGTCCCGACTATCAAGGTCGTCCTGGATATTGAGACGTCGATTATCCTGCTCACTGCAGGGTTGCTATTTGCTGGTTTCTATGCTGTCATGACTGGTGCGTCGACCTCCTTCCATAAAATCTATCACTTCAACGACCTTCATGCTTCGTTGATGTACCTCCCTATCGGTGGAGGAGGGGTGCTGTCAGCTTTCACGACTGGCCGACTGGTTGACTGGAACTACCGCCGTCATGCAAAACGTGCCGGTCTCACTGTTGTCAAGAATATGCGTGCGGACATCCACAACTTCAATATTGAGCGGGCGAGACTGGAAGTCGCACTCCCGCTTTACTACATTAGTAATTTGTCGATGCTGACCTACGGCTGGGTGTTGGGTCACAAGGTCAACCTTGCTGCTCCTATCATTCTTCTGTTCATCACCGGATGGTCGATTATTGGAACCTCACAGGTTTTAAATGCCTTGATGGTTGATCTTTGGCCAGGAAAGTCGGCGGCCGCGACTGCAGCAAACAATTTATTCCGGTGTGAACTTGGTGCCGCGGCGTCGGCAGCGATCAGGCCTATGACCTCTGCCATGGGCGATGGCTGGGCGTACACCACGCTTGCGTTGATCTCCATTGCTGTTTCGCCTTGTTTGTGGTTAGTGGCGTGTAATGGGATCAAGTGGCGACAGAAGAGAGATCGAAAGGAGGAGAAATCGTCTTGTGGACAGGACTGAATTTGCGTTGATCTGTATTGCACGAGCTCATGAACTCACAGATTCGGTCTAGAGGCATACGCCTGGGAAATGGCTTTGAGTTTCTTTTCTGAATTCCTCGCTTACTTACAAATGAACATTGCCTGAACTTCGCTTTCATCGGGAGGTCTTCTTCATATATACCATCTAGCTTTGAATCAGTCCAAATACCTCCTTTCAGGGCTCCTGACTGCCATGTACTGACACCGTCTAGTCGGAAGTTCATACGCGTTTAGGATAATTATCCTCTGGGATGGATCATTCCTTTTCCAGCACTTTGCGCAGGGATGGATGGTGTAAACGGCAAGGATATAGAAAAAAATTCCAGAAAAATCAAGAGACGGTTGAATAAGAAGGCCAAACAGAAGAATAATCAACTATCATTTTGATATCCTGATTCCTGGTTCACACGCGACCCACCACTCTTAAATGGTGGATGCTCATATAAAGATCAACCCGTGCGGAGAGTTGTGGGCTGCTTTAGGCATAATCCACTGTATTTGTCCAGGTGCATGTCTAGTGCCCGCTTATAACCGCGGCGGAGACCGCCGAGAATCCTTGCCGATGAAGATGGCCCGCGGGTAGGCAAAAGAATCTCTGGGGAATCATCGCTAGGTCCTCCAGCCTTTAGAAAGTGGCTTAGCAAATTGCGATCCCCGGAGTAATCCTCTCCTGGCCGGGAAGAGGAGGTAAATGGTGCAAGGAACCCCGGGCCAAACTACCAATACCTTGGGGATTGTCATACAATGGAAATTTGGCAACAAATGCAGGTGCTATTAAATGTTTCTTTCTCTCCTGGCCACGTAATGTATTCAATCAAAATATTTTCTTCCCATGTCAAATATTCTGCCTGCAGAATCATCGGAATTGGCTCCCGAAATCCCCCGGTAAGCCACCGGCCCGTGTTCACCGCCTGACCAATATGGGCCAGCTTTACGGCTGCAGTCCGTCGTAGGCGGTGAAGCCAAGCAATACCGCAAAAGCTCAGTCATTTCCCGTACTCGAATCCACCCACCCTATTTGCGCACTCCCAACAACTTCAATCCGCTCGCATCGAGGATTGCATTTATATCTAAAGACAAATAGTCTTTCTGTTCCTTCTTTCGTTATGTTCCGCGCCGTTTTGCCCCGGGCTACGCCCCGGTCTGCCCTCCGTCATGCCGGCCCGAAGGCTGTTCCCAACATTTTTGCTACTCCCATGATCTTCATTGGCCACTCAAAACGTGGTTTCGCATCTGAAGCAGGTAAGTCGATGCTTACATCACTATCACAGAGTTCCTAGAGGTGCTCAATTTGCTTCCCGGATGCGATTGCTGATTTCCGCTTTTCCGGGCAATAGGTGATCACGACCTGGTCATCATCGGTGGTGGTGTCGCCGGTTACGTTGCCGCTATTAAGGCCGGT